GGTTTGCCTCACCAAATTTTAGATACCTGCACCCAAGGAAGTGATTGTAACACATCCAAATTCACTGATTTGGTGGTGTGAACCAATACTTGGAATTATTTTGTATCCCCAGAATCAGAACCAAACATTGAGAAGCATCATTCAGTTCTTGTGCTCCACTAATCTGGAACAAACTCCCAAAAAACTTTAAATGCAGAAATGATGAGGGTTGTTTTTTATTCAAAGCAAAAAATAAATAAAATAAAATAAATAAAAATAAAAAACACTTCTTAATTTGTCTTCCACTGTTTCATTTAAACAGATAACAGAAACATAATTAACTGTAGTTATAGTCCAATGTTTCTATACCTTCTGTTATTACACCACTGCAATTGACTTTTTTTCCAATACTTTTTTCTTCTGTTTTGTTCATGTAAAGCACTGTAACTGACTCGTTACTGATATACAAAAAAATGCAGTGCATAGTTTTGGCAATATAGGACATCAACTCAAATTGCCACTGCCAACTGAAACAGGTTGTTTTTTTAAAGGCTATGTCACAGAAAAACTGACCTCCTCTGATGCACCATGACAAGCAATCCAGATTACTTTTCTTCTTAAAAAGTTCTCTGATCCTGGGAAAAGGTCCCGCAAGTCTTCACYAGACAGGTTGCCCATCATTGCCTCACTAATGTTTGTAGCTGAGAATGTGTTTGAAAACAACGATGAAACAGTGACACATCCAGATTAGGGAGAAAGGACTAAACATAAACTGGATTTGGATTTCAAATATTTTAGTCGGTCTAACACTTGTTTCAATTTAGTTAGCTTTCTTATTCCTCTGACATTCCAGCTTGTAATTTTGATATTTAAAATATTTCCTTTGGTTGTCTTCTCCATATCAGATTTTTTAGTTTGCTGTCTTTCATGACTCACTGATCAAAAGTGTCTGCTGTGCTTTATTTTGGAAGAGTCTTGTAAAAAATTTCAGCTTCTTGAGGCGTTGAGAAGAGATGGATCTTTCCACCATGGAGGATCCGAAGTTTGCAGGGTTTGTGTTGGAATCCATGAAATGCGCCGATGTCAACAAACAGCTTCACCACCGATTGAAACCCACGTCTGATCCGTTCCGTCTCCGCAGATAGATCCTGTGCAAACATAATTTTGGCCCCATCTTGTGTAATATCTCTTTCCCTTGCCTCTCGGTACACAAGTTCCTTCTCCGGGAACTTTAAGAAGCGACTCAGAACTGCTCTGATCTGGTTTGGTTTCCCGGAGGCTAGTGTGCGGTGTACCCGCTCCAGTGTGAATGATTTGTCCGGTGCGAGCTCCAGCCATTTCGGTAGCACGTTGCTAATAAAGTCAAAAAGTGTTTGTCTACCCTCTGCTCCTTCTCTGATGCCAAAGACACGCAGGTTCTTCCGTCTACCTTGGTTTTTTTAGGTCATCTGTTTTAGCCTCAAGGAGCAGGATTCGTTTCATTGCCTAAGTCAGCGATGTTTCCGCTTTTTCGAGCGAGCTTTCTACCTCGGCAATGCAGGCCTCGGCCTCCTCCATATGAGCCGCCAGGCTTAATAGGTCTTGTTTTACCTCTGACACTTTAGCCTCTTGTGCAGTCATAGCACTCGCCATCCCAGTCAGTCTTTCATTTATGCTATCTGTAGGAATGGGTTACTTATGCAAATAAGCCCACCTTACATCTTCCCATAACTAAGTTATGAGAGTAAATTTTACCAAGGTTTTCCTCATTACTTTAATATTTGTCTGTGCAAAGATAAGTGACACAATGAGGGAACGTCAGAC